TGAGGCAGAACACATTTTCGACAGACATAAAACAGACATGCAAGTCAAAATAAACCACTCCAGAGTGAAACTGGAGCCCTGCAACCCTGCCTGTGCACTGAACAAGTGTGTGTGTTTTTGAATGTCCGGGGCATTGAAACACTGATGGTTAAAAAGGGGCCTAGAATGATCCAATTCGGGTGTTTTCAGTGGAAAACAAAGTTATGTTCACAAAAACTGAAGCCAAACTCTGAAGACCAACTCCTCTGGATTCATTAAGTGACAGGGTTGACATTCTTTCTGAATACCAGTCATCCAAAGAACCAAAACCATCATCAATAGTACTTTAACCATCTAAACATAATCCCAATATGAATAGAATATAGTCTAAATAGTGAGAATACTTTGCCTTAGTTGATGATAGATACAAACCAAGACTTGTGTGTGGGCTCACATAACAGTCAGAAACACCACGTCCTCATGGTGGATAGAAAACATCACTTCTCTAAATCTCCTTAATCTGGTGGCTCATTTTGTTCAAATGCATAATGATTTCTGCTTAATACGTTTTAGAAGAATTATACATCTAATGTAAACAGCAAAACCTGTCATGAAAATGAGCTGAATGACAAGGCTTAATGCCACAGCAGGCTTTTTGCCATCGAAAGTGTTTAAGGAGGTTAAGTGGAATTTGATGCTTGCAACAATGAAATTATGATCCAGAGTTTTTACGATAATGTTCCAGTTAGATTTCAATATAAATGTTCAGGGAGTCAAATCCCAGCCTCTTGACCTTTGCTGCATTGTCTTCCTCCTCTCCCACTGCCAGCTTTCCTCTCAATCTACTGTGATTGACAGGAAATAAAGGCCACTAGATCCAAAAAATACTTAAAAGATAAATAACTTAAAAAATTAACCTGGAGTCAAGTTTTACGGCCTTTTTATTCAGACCTTTGTGTGAGGTGCCACAATCACACAAATACATGGCTGTCTTTATTAGTGAGAATGGAGGCAGGTGTTAAGTTTAACTAAAGCCTGTTTGAGTAAATGCAAACATAGCAGAAAAAGCTGAGATTTCATATCAGTTCTTACAATTCATACAAAACTGAAAATCATAAAAGCTGCAGTATGTAACTTTTACACAGAATATGTTAAAACATATTCATATTTGCTAAACTTGTCACCATGTTAAGATCTCCTCCACCGCCTCCCTGAGCTACTATTGCCATCTGAAGAAATACACAGATCCTGACGAAAAACAAGCAATTAGAGCCAGGAGGAGGATCTTAGCGATGCCACTCAATCTCATGCATTCGCTGCTCAATGTGTTAATGAGCACATAAACAATTTACCATTACAGGAAAACCATTTATCCGTGGTCATTGGTGACTATGCTAGCTAGCCTAACCAACAGGATCTTCTGACAGGGAAAAGTTGTAGCTGAGAGCAAAGGGAGGGACCCAGAGATGCCATGTGAAGCAGCAGACAACCAAATGAAACAGAGCTGAAAAAAATTATATTCAACCCCATACCTCAATATCCACCAAAAAGACCTAGTTACCTCCAGCAAGAGGAAGCATCTGACAATATTGGCTAGTCATTTAAAATAATGGAAAATACTGCTACGAAGACATGAGAAAACTATTTATAATATAAGAGTCATCACTGAAAATAGCTCAAGATTTTCAGAACTTCTAAAAAACAGTGAAGCCTTATGATGCAAACTCTGTTTGGAGTTGCTTCTCAACAAAGATATGAGACTTTGCCCTTCAGTATATCATACAACCCTAAAACAAAAGTCTCTTTGCAGTATAGCTACAGCATAGAGCACAGTGCAGAAGGGCAAAGTGTAGCAATTAGTGAGTTTGTCTGATGTATGTGGACCCAGCCTTTCACTGCAAAACCACAAAGACAATCCCCAAGTTCCCATTTACAGGATAAAAAAGGAATGGAGCTATAACAGCACATATATCTAGTTTCATCTGACATAAGCCACTGAATCCAGATAGCTACATAAGTTTGTTTGCTAGAACACAAACAATTAAGTGAGAACAAATTAGTTTTTTTTTCTATTCAATGGAAGAAAAACAGTTGTTAATAGAAAGACAAAAAGTTACTCATTAACACAAACCAAATGTAGTTACAAATGGGTAAATATGGGACTTTTTCCCAGTGTCCAAGAATCTTGAAGGAAGAATTAATTTACTTTGAGTCATAGGGAAGACAACAGTCAACAGTGGCTGCACAACTTCCCGGTCATCAGGAGTTTCCCTAAAAATAAAAAAAACCAATTAAAAACTATGATGCATAGAATACAATGTAATGGAACAGTCCAGAGAAAATAAATTTTAAGACTTCTTAGAGTTGACTGGTCCAATCACTGGTCCAGGAAAATCAATGTGAAGCTAGCAATATATATATTTATTTTATTGTTTCTTTTAATTGCTTTTGTTTATTAAATATTCATTAGGCAGTTTGAAGGCCTAATGCAATCCAGGGTGCTGTGGTGGTGCAGGGGCAGAGCAAGACCCACAAATTGAGGCCTTTGTCCTCGTGGCGGTGGTCACAGGTTTGATTCCCAGCCTGGCGACATTTGCCGCATGTCTTCCCCCTCTCTGATTACCCTGTTTCCTGTCGAACTACTTTCAAATAAAGGCCACTAGAGCCAATAAAATCTAAAAAAAAAAAAAAAAAAAAAGGAATCCAGATTGTTAAAGAGGATTTTGTTGAGTGAACACAGGGCCATGTCCTCTACACAGTTGGAGATGCTGTGAAGTAGATGGAATCTGAAATTCCCAAACACCAGAAAACAAATCTTGTTTCTTCATAGCTGACTTTTCACCTGATGAGTGTGTTCTAAAAAATAAAAACAGAGCCGATATAGGTGCATCAATTTACAAATTTAAGATCTACTTGAAGAACAATACCTGGCCTGGTACACTGCATCTTGTCCAGAAACATGAGGAGTCATAGCCAATAAACACTGCACCTGCATTGTTTACTAAATCCAAAGGTACTGTTGGCACTGATGCAAAAGGACCCATACATAGCTTTTCTGTTAGGCAAAATCACTGCAACTATACATTGTTTGGACTTATGCACAATCCTTTCCATTGATAAAATTATGTTGAGTGTGCCTGGCTGCAAATCCACAAGTACAGGCCTTCAGCACATGCTTTTTTCCCCTCTCTCTCGTTTTCCTTTAATTTGCAAATCTTGTAATCTAAGCCTAGAGCTGACTGAACCAACTTCGAAACCAGCACAGCAACAGCGGCCAAGACTCCAATCTGTTTTCCATTTAAGTGTCAGGATGGCGTCCTTTTTGGTGGTTAACAAAAGCTGTTATTTCGAAATGATTATACAGAAAAGAAATTGTGTGAGGACTGTAGCAAGTTTATGAACAGGCCGTACGGAAAGTACTCCGCCGCACCCGGAAGCCTTTTTCCTTCTTGCGTCTTACCAGAGTGTTATTTACCAAGCACTTCTCCAGGAGGAAGAACCAAGCGATGTCATCCAGCCAGAGGTCAGGGTTTCTGCTTTTCAACATACTGCATGTTTTCAGCATTAGTGGCAAGCAACGCCTGGGTGAATCGCCAAACCGTCAAAGTGCAACATGTCTCAATGTCAGTGAGGACATAGGAAAAGCAGAAGCAATGGCGACAGCGTCAGAAAGACAGGAGAAGCAGGTTCTGGAAAACATCAAGAAGGTGGTCTCCATCAAGACTCTGCTGAGGACAGACTTCCTTATTTCATTTCCTGGGGAGGACATATTAAGCTCAATTTAGTGTTGCTCTGGAGGAGTAAGTCAAAGAAGAGGTAAGTGGAAGGTATTGACTGATCATATATAAAAAGTGAGTTTAGGAAGCCATGACATCAAGGAGTAAAATTCACTTATTTCACAAAACCAAGACATTATACTCACAGTTGTAAAAGAGCTGTGAACTGAGAACTGACGACAGCCCGGTTTCCAGGTACCATTTAAATTCCAACCATAGTGCCACAAAAAATGTCAATGAATCACATTCACTATCCCCACATCGCTCCATCATTTTTACTTGTTTGCATGTAAAATGTTCAATCTAAAAGCTCACAAATGCTATTACAGCTTTCATTCATATCATTTGTTGCATCTTAAAACACTACAAAACATAAAATTCTAGTTCATCTCAAAAATGTTAATATTGTGTAAATATGCAATATTTCTTTCCAGTCATCTCAGAAAGTGAAACTCTTATACAGAACCACCACACATGGAGTGATGTATTCCAGGCCTTTGTTGTGTTGTAATTTTGATTATGGTTTACAGAGAATGAAAACCCAAATATCAATGTCTCAGAAAATTTAAATGAAACCTCATTGTATCATACCCTAATCAGCTACTTTACTCAAAACACCTGCAAAGGTTTTCTGAGCCATTTAAAGGTCTCTCAGTCTGGGTCCGTAGACTTACACAATCGTAGGGAAGACTGCTGACTGGACAGATATCCAGAGCTCAGTCATCGACATCTGGAAAAAAAAGGTCTCTTTGAACCATGGTCCAACCCAGAAGAAGTTGGGCATTTTGTTTAAAAATCACCATTTTGTCCCAGGGCTCATCACCATCAGCATGTGAATGTGTGTATGAATGACTAAAGGTAGTGCGCTTTGGCATTTAGGCTATACAATTAGAGGCCATTTTATCATTTACCATCAACTCAGCTTTACAAATCCACTTACTACAGACTTCACTGTCATCATTTATGAAGCAACGATGAGGGCAAAATGGAAATGTTTGCAAAAAATCGAGTACATCCCAAAAACTCTAGATGCAAACAACATACGCAAAACCCTAGAGTTAATAGGGAGAGTTTCTTTGAAGTAACTGTGGTATTCCAATGGTTTTTTTAAATCATTTTGTAGGTTTATAAAACCCATTAACCACAGATTTGTAGTTTTTAAAGTGACCTTTAATATACAAAGCATTAAGAATATTGAGATTAGTAAAGAAATGCTGCCAGCTCTTCGATAATTTATCAACTCACCCTGAAGACCCTGCGCTCTTGCAGACCCCCAGCAATGGCCTCTTCTCAGCAAAGCCGTCTGCTTTCAGAGGACCTAGAGAAGAAGAGGCATCTTTGAATAAGACAGGCAGAATTGTCTGATTCAAAGACAATTCCACCTTTGAATAAGATGTGTTTAACATTTGAGACCTCTTGAGCCTCCCACTCTCAAACAGTGAAAACCATGTTGGGTAAGTGGAACCTTTCCATCGTTTTCAAGAAAAGGCTGGGGGGGTGGGAAGTTAAAGAACCTTACTCTTGTTTATTTTGCGGTTTGGATTACAGCATGGTACAACCACAGTGGCTATTTAAGAAAAAAAAAAAGAAAGAAAAACAAAGGCAAAACATGTTGCATTAAGTGAAGCGATCTGCCTTAATTGTCTCATAGTTGAAGTTGGGCTGGGGATCAGGAGATCACGGTGCTCAGATTGGAGAAGATGTCCCCTTCTCTTTCAGAAGGCTGTAATTTGAGGCTCAACAGTAATCAGCCTGAGTTCCTGTGGTATGGCGTGAGCAGAAGTGGCGGCCCCACCAGCCCCTAACACTCCCCAAAGGGTCCTTTCTCCTTTCATGTTTGTCATCAAGCATTTTTCTCAGTCATAAACCTGAACTCTAACATAAATATTGCTTCTCTGAGACTTAGCAAAATGACAGTTACTAAAATAAGGCTTCTCCGTAAAATCAAAACATCTGACAAATAGGGAAGGATGCGAACTTTCAAGGAAATTATTTGTACAAGTATGACTATTTTGAAGAAACAAAAACTGACATCAGTTCCAATTCTTTTTTAAAAAACATTGTATGGGTAGTTTTGGTATGTCCTTTGTGGACATTGCATATTAGTCAAAAAGGGCTCTGATAAAATGTCAATTAGAAACATTGGGAACACTGGTTCTACCATCTAGAGAGGAAGTGAATATGGGTTCTGTTTTGGAAGTGCATACTTCCCTGTACATACTCAGAAAGGGAGACCTTGCTTATTATAATCAACACCTATTTTCGGGGCTCTTTAAGTCCACCCACACACAGAGTTTCAATCCAGACAATTGGCCTTTTAATGGCCTACCACAGTGCAACACTGTTTGCACTCTAGCAGATTACAATCGGTATCCTACCCAGTGGCACAATTCATATTTATTTTCTGCTGAGAGAATTACTCCCCTCATGTGTCAGGCTATCTGCTGCTTCTTATTACTGAGCTTTGCTTTCATCCACTTCCAGAACTCTTCAAATGCTGCCATTGTCTGTTGGTGAAATTTGCCAAAAGACCGGAACATAGACGGGGAACAAAAAGCTGTTTTTCTCACAGAACATGAAATGCAAGAAACCAGCTTCTACATCACTGCCCGACACCTGAAGAGATTAAATTTGAACCTTGGGTCTGAGGAGTATCACATCTTTCAAACAACTGAACCAGGCGTATCCTGACTTTAGAAATAAGAACAGTGGTGTTTTTTTCTGCATTTCCAATTTCAATGTAATGACAAAATAATCGTTAAAATATCTGCCACATGGGGGGACATTCATTTTTCCATCCATCCCTCCTGTTTTATATGTTACAGGAGGGATGTAACATATTTGCTTCAAAATAGTATTTGTAGAGAAAATTAGAACCAGTCAGGTAGTCCAAGAAGAACATGTCAGTGGTTCAAACTGGGCAGGCCATTCTACCAAATCTCAATTCTCCAGGTCACACTGGAACTCAAGGTAGGTGTATCAGTACCAACTAGCTGTTCACATTAAAACTACAAAAAGGCTCCTGCTCCTGAGAACAGTTTTATATTACAATGCAATAATCCCCAAGTTATTGGAACTGCAACGGTCTGCTTGAGTGCAATATTTGGGTGGCTGTAATATTTTAAGGCAGTATATAAGGGTGGGCAGTTTAAAGATATCATTTACTTATCATGAAAAATCTATCATGAGAATTCTGATGTATTGTCTTGATAAATTCCATTTAATGATGCTAAAAGAAATTGATAGCATTAATAATGTTTTTTTTAACTATTTTCTCCACTCTGTTCAATGAGAGTGTCAATAAATATCAATAACTTCGAAAATATGATTAAATGCCATTAATGTGTGCAGTTTAGAGATATTAATCTCACTTCTTTATGTAACTGGTGACTGTTTGTCAAGAGCAATGTGTGGTGCTACCTTAAAAAGGAAAAAAAATATATATATATATATA